CATAGCAACCCTGGGAGGTGAACGCTATTATTATTATCTCAATTTTATAGTTAGCGCAAGACAGAAGTTAAATGACTTGCCCAAGATCACATAGCTAGTAAGAACTCAGGTCTTCTGACTGTAGGTCCACTTTCTGGGTCTATCCATTGTGCCACCTAAGGTCTCACAGTTAGGAAATGGCAGAGCTGCAATTTAAGCCTAGATCTCTTCAATTCCAAATTCAGCAGGGTTTCTGCTATCGTGCGCAGGAAGCTGTCTTTGACTTGGTGTACTTTCATAGCTACAGTGAGAGGGGGATTGGGTCTTGGGTTCCTGCTCTTCTTTGTGCATGTTTGTGACTCTTCAGGACTTTGGTCTCCTCCCTTGGGAGAATGGGATCAGGGAATGTCTTCAGTTGTATCTGTCCAGGGCTATGAGACTGGCTGGTCAGTACATAGACTGGAGTAGTGAAATCAATACAAGAATGTTTAGTCACGAAATTAGTTATCCTCAGGCTCAGCTACACATTGAATACCTGACACACACCATTGAGGTCTTCTCCTTCCCTAAGGAAGATGCATGGAATGGGAGCCTATGGCCTCTGATGGATATTCCCAATAATAGAATAGTCAAATCTTAGGCTGGAACTTAGACGAGTTGCTTTCCTGTGTAACAGTGACAAGACCCTGGGAAAGTGTGGGTGAGACCATAGGTGTTTTGATGAATAGGCTATTATAGTATAGAATAAAGTACCACACTTTCTGCTGTATGAGTTATGGTGGTGGGATAGCCTGGGGGTACCATTGATGAAAAATAGACCATAGAGGGAGGAAGATTTTGGCTTAAAGATGATCTCATCTTGAGTTAATATTGTGACCTGGTGGCCATAGAAGCCAATGTCATCCTTGGCTGTATTGAGAGACATGGTGTCAAAAAAAATATTCCTGTTCCATTCTGCTCTGGCCAGACCACCCGTTTTTCAATTCTGGGCAACACATTTTAGGAAAGATGAGCAATAGTGTGTATGGAAGAAAGTGACCAAGGTGGTGAGAGGATCAAAGAGCGTGCCTTATGAGAGCTGGAGGAAGGAACTAAGGATATACAACTTGAAGAAGAGAAGGCTTTGGGGGGGAGGTGTAAAACATGATAGTTGTATTCAAGTTTGTTTTTTTTTTAATGGTGGCCATTTGGACTAAGCATTAGTCTTGTTTTAATTTGTTCCATGGGCAGACTAGGAGCAATGAATGGGTGGGAATTGTATAGAGTCAGATTGCAGCTTGATATAAAGAAAAGAAAACTCCCAGGCAATTAGAACTAGTCAAAGGTGCAGTGGACTGCCACAGGAAGAATTGGGTCCACCATCATTGGAAGTCTTTAAGCAGAGACTGTTAATGTTATTTGAGGGTGCCTCCCAGCTTTTAGATTCTGTCCATCTAGAATAAATGTGGGTGACTGTCTAGCTGGGTGAAAACTTGAAGGATATTATCACCTTACAAGACATATGTCACCACAACATAAAACCCTGATTGACTTCAAGAAGAAACACGCCTCAAATTTTAGTCATTTTGAAGCTATATCATTTCCACTGGCGATTCTCCATCACCAAGCAACCCCCAGACTAACTAATACACTTATGTACGTGGTACCTGGTGTCTCACTAGACAACTGTCATTGCTAGAAAATTTCATTAAAGAAATGTCCCTTTCTTTATAAAGGAGAAGATTCTTCCATCAAGAAGACTACTTTTTCCTTCTCTCCCTTTCACAAGCTTGGGTCACCTATACAGTTGATACTAAAAGAATGAATGATTAGGGGTCCTGTTGCTTTATAGGGATAGTGCTAGGATGTTCCAGTAGCCATGGCTGGCTAGAGAAAGGAAAGTTGACCCAGACTGGTCTTTAAATCCCAAGGCTTCCAATCTCACACTGTAACTAAGCAGACCAGATTTACAGTTGTCTTAGCAACATTCAAACAAATTACACAACCTCATCCCTCAGCCTTCCTTTTCCCAGAGTACAGCTGTTCTAATCTCTGCTGCATTCCGATGAAGAGCCCTTCACAATGGCAGGAATTTACTTGAGGCTGTGGTTTGGACGAAAGCAGTTAAAGTGAAGATTTGATCTCATTCCCAATCTCTACCTTTCCCCCTTTCCTACCTCTTAGCAAACCAAACTGTTGCAGTCTGACTTGAGTGACAGAGCACAGACCATCAAGGCAACATTCCCAAACTACAGGAATGGCTAATCCTGTAATGGGGCACAGAGATACTGGGAAATGTGTTTAATGGCTGACTCCAACATGGTGGAGCTGACGGTGGAGTTTTGCAGTGGCAGTAGGGATTTCTACAAGCCATCTCTTCCTTTCTCACCTGGTTGCAGTACTTTGAGATTTCTGTGACTGACTTCCCCAACATGCCCCAGGAAGCTCATTATAGGGAGAACCTGATCATCCTAAAATCTTATCAGCCTTGGTACTCTACCTCATCATCTGTCTGGTTGGAGGGAGGAAGGAAGGGGGAGGGAGGGAAGAAGGAAGAGAGGAGGAGGATGGGAGGAAGTAAGAGAGGGGGAAGATGAGAGGAAGGGAAGGAGGAGGGAGGAAGGAATGGAGGAAAGAAAGATGGGAGGAAAGTAAAAAGGAAGAGAGAGAGGGAGGAAAGAGGAAGAAAAAAGAAAAGGAAGAAAGAGGGAAGGAAAGAAGAGAGGAAGAAAGGAAGGAAGGAAGGAAATGAGAGAGAAAGGAAACAAATATTTATTAAGCGTTTACTATGTGCAAGGCCTTGGCCACTCAAAGCTTCAGTTTTCCTGTGTGTAAAATGGAGTCAGACTAGAGGATCTCTAAAATCCCTTCCAATACAAAATCAATAATTCCTTGACTTAAAAGAAAGCATCCAGGAAGTAAAACAAGCAGTGTGGAGTAGCGGATAGAGAACCACCCTCTGAGTCAGGAAGTCCTGGATTCAAGTCCTGCCCTGACAGTCACACTGAGGCACAGCTTGCAGCAGGGGAGCACTCGTTCAGTGTTAGCCAGAGACTAGGAGAACAGCCTGGCAGAAAGGGCCTAGAGAGTATTACAGATTAGTCAGTGGGTTGAATCTGGAGAGACTGAGCTAGAAGGATCAGGGGGCTATCACAGGTCAACTGGAAGGATTAGATGGGTTAGGAAAGTTTGAGCAGGGGAGGGCCAGAGTTTGAGAGGTCAGAAACATCGGCAGCAACAAGCAGGAAGAATCCAAATTGTTTGTTTTCTGCTCTCCTTGGAACTCTCTGTGTGAGTGGGGGGAAGGGAGGCTGAGGTTTGCGGGTATGAACTTGAAACTAGAGCCCCAGTGGCACATTTTGCTATTGATTAGGTCAGGGACAGAGTAGGTGCTAGGCCTCTCAGAAGGCTTAAAAAATTTTTTTTAAAAGTTTTTTTTAAAAATAGCTTTCTTGGTTCCTTTTGCAGAAGAACCTAATAACCAAACCTAATAAATAGGAGTTAAATGATTGATTCAGAACACAGTCTTCAGAAGACTTAGGTCCAGAACTCAAAGCCGTGAAGATGTCAGTACTTTCCTTGACTCATCAAATACTACACAACCGTAAACTAAAAGGCCTCTAGGTTTCTTTCCATCCTGAGGTGAGTTGGGACAAATTCTTTGCAATGGGATGCCTCGTTAGCGCTATTCTCTTTTAAGGCCCCTTCCAATGCTAAAATTCTATGATCCTCCGAGTCTGAGCATGTGAAAGTCATCCCAGGTTCCAATGGTATTAACTGATGAGTTTTAGAGACTGCTTCAAGGTTTGAAAATCAGTTTATGCAGGGCGTCCCCAAAGTCTTACAGAGCTTTAAGTGTTAGTAGCTTAAAAACCACACCAAGATTTTTGGGACACCATTATATGCTATTTCATTTAAGCCTCCCAATAACCTCGTGAGGCAGCAAGTCCAAGTATTATGAGTTCTATTTTATAGGTAAGGAAACTGAGGTTCACTTCAGTTAAGTGACTTGCCCATGGTCCTGAAATAAGTGCCAGAGGCAGGATTTGAACATGGATCTTTCTTGTTCCAAGCCTAACACTTAATCTGTTTCTTTTCATTTCCCCCTTTCATATTCTGGGAGAGGCCCTGGAGGTAGAGAGGAACAAAATAAAAATTTTGTTTCTTCTTGTCCTCCCCTTTTTATACTTTTCCCCACCTCAAGCCTTCATCATTAATCAAATTATCTTGCTAGAGATAATATATGTACACACGCACACACACATACATACATATGTAAGGTAGTTTGCAAATATAGCACTATATAAATGCTAGCTTTATTACTATTATTATTCTGGGAAAGCCCATGGCTTCTTGAAGATTGATGTCAGACTTTAGGGAAAGGTACAGAAGGTCAGTCCACTGAGAATCACATGGCTATTAACTGGAAATTAAATCTGGTTTGATAATTTTCTCATGTCTTCTGGAAGCATGAGATTTCCTCTTTCCTCCCTCTCTCCTGGAATCAGGATTTTTAAGTTCCAGAAATCCTGTTCCCTGAAAATATTTGTCAGGTCCATCTGACCTCGTCTGCATATCATGGCCCACTGACACATGCAGAATGATTCAACATCTCCTCCGGCCGGCTCTCAGACAGCTCTGGAGAGAAGAGCAGTGTCTGCCGCCTTCTCCTGACTCAGGTTTGGAAAATGAGAAATTCTCTTCACTGACCGTTTTGGGCCATCCGTTCCAATAATTCACTGAAAAAGTTCTTTCCTCAAAATAACTATCCAAGGCAGGGAATACAAGCACCCATTTTATAGGAAAATCCTGCTCCAGGCTTGGAAAGATTGATGGCTTCCTGTAGTGATGGTCTACCCAGGAATACAGTTGGAAATCAGGTAGCCTGCAAGCATCCAGAACCACTATTCTCTATTGCTTTCTTTATTCCTTTTCCCCCTGAATTAACTACGGCCCTGGGTAATATCCCAGTGCCCCAAAGGGTTGGATTGGAATTTCCCCTCTGAGGGGATTACAGTCTAGGTGTATATGAAGAAGCTCACCTTTCACTCCATAGGTTTCATTTTGAAATGGTCGGGTCAGGAACAAACCTGGACATTTTAATCTAAGCCACCAGGTTCCTCTGATGACTTCTGTTCCTCTGAGGTTCCGCAGGCAGATGGCAGACAGTGATGTAGGTCAGGGTGAGAAGGTGAGGAGGCAGCCAGGGAAGAAAAAAACCTGAAAGGAAGATTGATCGATGGATGAGGTCACAAAGTCAGGAATCAGGGAGGCTGGCTTCTCTTCCCTGGCTTGTCCACTTCTCTGATCATTTTGAATAGCCTGTCAATCTCTGGCATGATATAATGGAGGCATCAGAAACCAGGGTTTGGATCATTTCTGAAACCTCATGACATTTACTAGTTGTTTGAGTCTGGCTTCAGACACTTATTAGCTGCGTGACCTCGGGCACGTCACTTAACCTCTGTTTGCTTTAGTTTCCTCAACTGTAAAATGAGGATAATAACAGCACCTATTTCCCAAGGTTGCTGTGAGGATCAAATGAAATAATATTTGTAAAGTAGTTAGCACAGAACCTGGTACCTAGCAGGCATTATATAAGTAAATGCTATTAGTATACTAATAATAATGATTATGTTGTATTATATAATCTCCTTGAGCCTTAGGTTTTTTTTTCCTGTGAAATGGGGATAATATTTTCGTACTATTGGATGAGGTTATTGTGAAGGAAGTGCCTCATAAAACTTAAAGTATTATATAAGTGTGAATTATTATTATTATTATTATCAATCTGTGTTTGTAAACTTGGGGGAGGGGACAAGGACCATATCTTTATCATCATCATCATAGCAAGTATTTATGCAACACTTCAAGGTTCACAAAGTCTTTTATCTATGTTATTTCATTTAGAATTCACAACCACCCTGGGAGGTAGGTGCTATTATTAGCCCCATTTTGTAGATGAGAAATCTGAGGCAGACAGGGATGAAGAAGTGACTTGCCCAGGGTTACACAGCTATTAAGTCTCTGAGGCAGGATTGGAACTCAGGTCTTCCCAACTCCAAGTCTAGTGCTCTATCCACTGAGCTGCCTGTATTATCCATCTTTGTAGCCTTCGTAGTGTCTTCCATAATAGCAAGAGTAGTAACTCATTTATGTAAGGATAAGTGCTTTCTAGAGTGCTATTGATGTGTGGCTTGGTGGAGAGAGATAGATTTGCAGTCAAGACTTGGGTTCAAATCCTGCCTCCAGCATATACTGGCTGTGTGACCCTGGGCAAGTCCCTTAACCTCTCTGTGGTCTGGGCATCTCACTAAGATTATAAATATGGAAGAAGGTGCAGAACTATATTGGTAGACAGTTTCTTCCTCTGGAGGTTCCCTATGCTAATGAAATCATAGGTCTAGTCTGGTCCATTTTTTTAAAAGGCAAACATTTATTGACTACTCAATTATAATGGTCATTATTTTTATTCATCAGACTAGAGAAACTAAAACTCAGTGAACCTTACACAGAATATTTATGCATAATATAACCACCCTCTTTAAAAAGTTCAAGGCCATTTTGACTTGAAGCCCTGTATGCTTGGCTCTGATGAATAAAAATAATGACTATTATATTATATCATAATATAATATAACAGGGACATATATTGTCCTCCATTCAGTTAATGCTGACACACAAAGAAATTCCTTCAGCTTATTCAGTTATTTCCTTCTTTCCACCACCAAACACTCAGTTTCTCCTTTTCTCCTCTTAAGATGTCTGTTCTTTTCCCTCCGGAAAAATGAAGAGTATCATGTGTCTTCAGCAATATGAGGATTTATTATTTTTCCTCCTTTACCTCCCTCCCTTTCCTTCCCCACCTCACAATTGTATAGTGCTTTAGTGTTTTGTGTAGTAGATAGGACATTGGATTTGGGGTCAAATGGCCAAGATTCTAGTCTCTATCCTTTGATATTTATATCATCATCAATCATCACCATAACTAGAATGTATATAGCTTTAAAGTTTTAGTGCCCGAAATCAGGATGATTTGGGTTCCAGTCTGGCCTTGGGCATTTACTAGTCATGTGACTCTGGGCAAGTCACTTAACTTTGCCTCACGTCTGTAAAATGAGCTGGAGAAGGAAATGGCAAACCACTCTAGGGTCTCTGACAAGAAAACCTCAAAGGCAGTCACAAAGAGTCAGACATGACTGAAATGAGTCAACAACAAAAAGAAATCCTTTACATATGTTAACTCCTTAATTTTTGCTCTTAATGCCCGCATGACCTTGGCGGGTCACTTAATCTTTACGGTAACCCACGCTTCCTCTAAGTTGCGTGGAATGAAGGATCATGCCAGTGGCGAGAAGGCAAACAAGACTGAAGGGAGCATCACCTTTTGATAATAGAATAAAGAAATAGGTACAGAGTATGTTTATGATTAGGCTAAAATGCAGGGAACTCTATCTGAGAAGTCATGCACCTCGTAGTACAGCAGTTTGTGAAATCAATATCACTTCACCAATGTCATGCTACTGCAAAATTAAAATTTAGAAAGTCAACTAGCTGGAATTGATAGGCAAAGAATTTTGTCTTTTTACAACAAAAAATATATTTTGCAATGTTTTATTGTAATTACTTGCACAATTGTTCAGTCCACACTTGACTAGGCACCGGGTCACGGATACTTAGGTTTAGACACTTCTGAGCAATTGAAGAGCTTTGGGATTCAGAAACATCAACCCAGAAGGCACTGAATACTATGGAAACCTCATGAAGAATGCCCATCTGACAATCTGGCGAGCAAGTAAGCAAGCAACAAGCATTTATTAAGCCCTTGCTGTATGCTGGGCACCATGCGAAGCCCTAAGTTCCCTCCTCCAAAAACTGGAAGGGTTACCACTTTCTGTGTGGCCTTGCACTTCAGCTTTCTCATCTGCAAAGTGAAGATGACTCTCTTCCAGCTCTAAATCTCCTCTCCATCCTTTGATCAAACCACATGATCATTAATACAAGGCATCCCCAAAGTCTCAGTGTGGTTTTAAGCTATCAAAGCACAAGTCTTAAAAAACACCCTGTACTGGGAATGGAAATCAGTCACTCACCATACATTTATTAAGCACTTACTATAGGCCAGATAGTTACGACAGCAGCTAGGTGGTGCAGTGGATAGAACCCTGGATCTGGAGAAGGGAAGACCTGAGTTCAAATCTGACCTCAGACACTTATCAGCTGTGTGACCCTAGGCAAGTCGCTTAACTCTGTTTGTTTCACTTTCCTCATCTGTAAAATGAGCTGGAGAAGGAAATGGCAAACCACTCTAGTGAAAACTCCAAATGGGGTCATAACTGAAATGACTGAACAAAAATAATGGACCAGGAAGGCATACATATGCTATACTTCTTGCTTGTATTCTCCAGCCCCTAAAAAGGTACAGTTTTCTTAATAAATACTTGTTGATTTATTGAATAGTAATCTCTTTTCTCTATCTAAATCCTACGCCCATTTTACAGAGGGGAAAACTGAGACTCAAGAGATCTTCAGTGACTGGACCACAATCATACATTTAGTAGGCATCAGGCATGGAATTCCATTAGCTCTCTAGGCGCCATGTTCTTTTCCATACAGGAAGTGCTTCCCTAAGTATATGTGGTTTGCAACTTGAATTAGGTCTGAGCTAAATGGGCTAGAAGTTCCCAAAGCTCAGGGGTGTCCACTGAAGAAACCCTGGAAAATTATCGATAGTAAAGGATGGGACTCCCAAGTTTCTTTTCAGTTTTGCGTTGATCAGCAATTATGCTTTCTCTCCTTTTGCTTTCTGACTAACTGCAAAGCAGCTTGCCCAGTCGTGGGAGCCTCGGTTGGACTGGGACTGTGCAGTGTCTCTGTGGTCCTTTGGGAGTTGGCCCTGGAGAAAGGAATCTCTTGTTTGTGTGTGGTTCATTTTGGAGATCAGGCTATTCTTTCCATACTAAGCCCCCTGCTTGCTCCCACACTGCTGTTGTATTTTAATAGGCCAACGTGATACAGCTGGGAAAGAAAGAAAAGTGAAGTGGGGTTGAAGTCCTGGGGACTATCCTTCAAAGAATGTCCCTCATACATTTCTTCCTTTGCCTAAAATGGTGGGGGAAAAAACCCCATTTTTCACAGTCTTTGTCTTCCTCACAGTGCCTTGGAGAAACATGATGAATTTCTATTATTCACCTGATGGCTTTTGGGTTGGTCAGGGAAGTTATGTATCAGTATTCGATGGGTCCTCCTGACAGTTTCCCTGGTCTCTAGCACACATTGAGCCATCTCTAGGGTGTGTATGTGTGTGTGAAACAAGGAGTTTTCATGACAGAAATGACAAAGCAGCAAAAAATCTTCACTCAATTAAGCTACCTTCCTTTTCTTAGGGCTCCGTGGGAACTCTGCTTGGAGAACAGTTTAAGAGTCAGGGTTAAGGAAAGAGATTTGGTGATTGTATTACATGTATTTCAGCAGGTTTCTTCTTGAGTGTCACTCATGGTTTAGGCTCATAGAACTTGAGAGTTGCAAGGGTCTTGAGGGGTCATCCAATTCAGCCGCCTCATCTTTTATTTCAGAATGAGAAACTGAGTCCTAGAGAGGGGAAGTGACTTAGCCAGGATGGGAACTCCTGACTTCCGAATCTTTGTTCAGTACTCTTTCCACTAGGCTGACCTCTTCAATGTAGTAGAATTTTATATCAATCATCTTTTCATTTGTTTCCTATGTAAGGATAAGTTGGCCAAAGGTCCTTCACTAGGTTGGAAAGCTTCATTGATTTTTTTTTTAATTTCTTGTCTTCTTCCTGGGCAGATGTCACAGATTTGCCTCATGCTGGAAATCACTGAGATGTGACCAGAATGGGGTGCCAATTGGATGCTGGGAAACCCCAGCCTGACTCAGAAGAATCAGTATGCCAGGCCCCTGAATTTGGGCTAGGGGAAGTTCCATGTGTGCTATAAGAGGTAAAGGTGGTGGGGAGACGAACTGAAACCCTGCCAGAGGGGTCTCCAAAGTCACCAAATATCCAAAGCTTGTGTTAGCTTCTTTTGGGTCCAGTTGTTTTATTGAAAAGGTCAGGGAAGAATGAATGAAAAAGAAATACTCATTGGACATGAGAGGAAGGGGCTCCTCTGTCCAATTCTATCCAATAAGCACTTATTAAATGCCTACTATGTACAAGGCATGGTGCTAGGTACCAGGAGACAAAGACAAAACAGATTCTGTTTTCAAGGAGTGTCCTCCTATTAGAATAGGGGGAGTAGAAAGACGTACTCCTATTCTTGGTGATTTAAAATATATTTTAAACCATTAAAGATCCATACTAATGGGTTTAAGATGCTGCTTCCTCTGAGTCCCTTAAGGTCTTAGGGCCAATGCCGTTTTTCACCTCAGTGCCTAACATTTTATCTTTGCCCCAATAGGTACTTAATAAATATTTTTAATTGAACTGAATTTAATAATCTTATTGATTTCAGGTTAATTTATAAGCTAGCAATTCCCTCTGAAGAGTTAACCCTTCAGGGTCTGGGTCTTGCTTGAGCAAGGTCAGTTTTCTTCTTTCAATAAAATCAGGATTCTCTACCTGGATCACTGTTAACTAACAACATAGTTGTATTGAGTAGGGGATAGAAGTCATAGTGTGTTTTATTAGTTTACTCAAGTATTTATTGATTTCTGACATCAACAGATGTGTTTTGTAATTTCTAGGCCTCCATGAGGTTCCTCTTCAGCTGAGACCCACTTCTAGTGTCTTGGGTAATGACTTCATCAGTTTAGATCAAGGAATCTTAACTTTTTGTGTGTGTGATGGACCTTATTGGCAGTCTGGTGAAACTTATGGACCCCTTCTCAGAACATTGTTTTTAAATGTATTAAAATGAAATACATAGGATGACAAAGGAAACCAATTATATTGAAATCCAATTATCAAAACATATTTTTAAAAACCAAGTTCACAGATCCCATGTTAGGAACCTCTTAAGTAATTCTGACATTTATATAATACCTACTACATGCCATGTACTATACTAAGCATTTTACAAACATTATCTCATCTGATTCTTACAATAACCCTAGGAGGAATTATTATTTTTATTTTACAGATGAGGAAACTGAGGCAAACAGAGGATTTTTTTTTTGGCCACCAAATGCATACAAAAGAGATATGAGTTAGCTTTGGGAGCAAGCCATAGCAACTAGGTAGCACAGTGGATAGAGCACTGGGCTGCAGTCAGAAAGACCCGAGTTCCAATCTGGCCTCAGACAATTCCTAGCTATGTGACCCTGGGCAAGTCACTTAGCCCTGTTTGCCTCAGTTCTCTCATATGTAAAATGAGCTGGAGAAGGAAATGGCAAACCATTCCAGTATCTTTGCCAAGAAAACCCCATATAGGGTCAGAAAGAGTCAGACAGGACTGAAATGATCGAACAACATTAGAAGCTGGGGGGGGTGGGTGGGTAAAGGAGACCAGCAATGTCCTCATGCAAAAGGTACTACTTGAACTGAGTCTAGAAGACCAGGGGTGGGACCATCTCCAGTCATCCTGATCTATATCTCGCCATTGGACCCAGATGGCTCTGAAGGAGAAAATGAGGCTGGTGGCTTTGCACAGCCCTCCCTTACTTAAATTCGATCCACTTGCAAGTCATGGCATCACCTTCCTGATGTCCTGGTCCTCTTTTAAAAGGATGCAAAAACGACAACAACAACAACAACAACACCAGGGATTCTAAGAAGCAGAGATGTGGGAGGGCATGCCAGGCATGGAGGATGGCTTGTATAAAAGCCTGGAGAAGACAGATGGATTGTCATGGGGGAAGAAGACTGTTTAGGTGGACTATGGAGTACATGGTAAAGAGTAATATGCATTAAGATTAAAAGATAGAATGGGCAGAAGGTTGTAAAATATTTCCAATGTCAAACAGATGATTTTATTTGCAATTCTAGAGGGAATAGGAGGTGGAACTTATTGAGTAGGGGAATGACATGGTCAGAATGACCCTTTAGGCAAAACGCTTTGACAGCTGTTAGGAAGATTGGTTAGAATTCAGAAAGATGAACTAGGGAGACAAATTTAGAGGTTATTGAGGTGAGGGTGGTGGTTGTGTGGGTGAAGAGAAGGGGACATATGTGGGGGAAATATTATGAAGTAAAAATGACAAGACATTGTCGCTGATTGGAGATGGACATGGTTCAGGAATCTTCTAAGTCACCCAGGTGACAAAATGTTATCGCATCACCCTAAAGTCCAAAAAAAATTATTTTATGGACTTTTGCCATATGTGCTAAACCCGCTAAATTTGTCAGATCGTATTCACTTGCCTAAGATCAGTGATTCATCTTTCTAAGGCTAATTATTTTCTTTAATTTAGTCTATGAGGGGAAAGGGAAAAAATTCTCCTTATTTTAGTTGCATAAGCTATATGCCCTACAGAGGATATATCAACTTATTTTGTTACTAATACATGTAAGAGAGCCTTTACCAACTTTTTAATTTGGGAGCTAAGGGTCCAAAATTCTGGGAAGAAATTGTCAATTAGGCTTAATAAAAGCTTCCTTCATTGACCAGATTTTTATTGCTTTCTTGGTAAAAGGCTGGATGAAGAGGGTGCGAAATACACCCACTGAAATTAACTCATGTGGTTGTTCAGTTGTTTTTAGTCGTGTCCAACTCTTTGTGATCCCATTTGGGGTTTTCTTGGCAAAGATACTGGAACAGTTTGCAATTTCCTTCTTCAGCCCATTTTAGAGGTGAGAAAACTGAGGCAAACAGGGTTAAGTGACTTGCCCAAGATCACACAGCTAGTAAGTATCTGAGACCAGATTGGAACTCAGGGAGATGAGTTTTCCTGACTCCAGGCCTGGCACTCCATCCACTGTGCTCCCTAGCTGTTCCTTAAATCACGTTAAACATAGCCTAAGAGGCTGTTTCACAAGGAAGGTGGAACCCTATGTAAATTCATGGTGTGTGTGTGACCTAGAGACCTTTAATAAAAAGATGTCATTAACAGGTTTCATTAAAGTATTAATTGAAGCAACCCAAGGCCCATCCTGTCTTTTATTCCTTCAAAAGATGATTTGGCTTAAAAACAGTTAACCTTTTGAATGTTCAGATAATTGTACTAGTTTATCCAGGTGAATGAGAAGCAGCAACTTTGGAGGAGATAATGCCTCTAAGATCTAAGGCACACCTCTGTTCTCCTCCCTTGACCCCTTCCATTCAATAAAATAATAGCCACAGTACTAGGGTTCAATTTTCTGCCAACTTGCACTGCAAAATTAGGCCAAGTGTCTGTCTCTGTTTCAGTTTCTCTATCTGTAAAACAGGGGATTATTTGCACTAACTAACATATTCATCATGGTCATTACAGACTCTGTGACTCCATTTCACATGATCCTCTGTGCTTTGTGCTAATGCAGGTAGGTCCTGTCTCCATTCATTGGTTTCCAACCCACCAATAAGGGTTTTCCGGGAAGGGGGTGAAAGAAACAGAGGATGTTCCCAAAGCTCAGAGAAGTTTGTAAAGAGTCTCTGTCCCAGTGTATCCCCTTAGTGGTGTGGGGCAAAGAAAAGAAAACCCTTGCTTGTTTTCTTCTATCTTTTGGCCGCTTTCCTGCTTCAACAAGTCTATTAGTTCAGGGCAAAATTTGTTTCACCCACAGCGCATTTAGGATATCTAAGCCAATGGCACTTTGTGGAGGGCTTTCAGAACTTGAATTCCAAAGCAAACAGAATCCCCATCTGTTTCCTTGAGAGCCTGGGGGGTGGGGTGTGTGTGTGGGGGCCGAGAAGAGAAGCTATTGTCGTTTGGAGTTAGAAGAATTCTGCATCTCCATCTCCTAAGTATCTCATGTGCGCCTTCCCCAGAGAAGTTTAGAATGTCAGCACTAGAAGGGACCTTGGTGATCCTCTAGCTCACCTTTCACTTTTGCAGGTGAGGAAACTGAGGTCCAGAGGAGACATGTGACTTGCGCTGGGAGGCAGAGCTGGCTCTGATGTTGACACGAGGAACGGCAGATTCAGAACCCACTTAAGGGGAGAATAAAAGTGTGTGTGTGTGGGGGGGTCCGGGGAGTGGGGTGAGTGGGTGGGTAGGTGAGGAGAGGCAGGGAAATTTCAAAGTCATTATAACCCACTTGTTAGAGGACTCACCTTCATTCCTCAAAGGTATGAAATGTTTTGGAGACCCTTCTCGTCTCAGTGACCTCTTACAGTTTGGAAAGTTCACGAAAAATAATATAAGGTAACCACTAGCCCTTCAAAACTCACCTCCAAGTTCGCGAGACGGCTCTCTTAGGGTCCCTCAAGGATCTCAGAAGATCTCAAGCCCAGCTGCGTCACCACTGCTCAGAGTTTTGGAAGGAAGTTCAGGGTTTCTTTTCTTTTCTTTCTTGTTCTCTCTCTTTACCCCCTCCCAAGTGGAGATGTTTTAAGCATCTAAAGGAAATGGTGAGAAACTGTTCTTTCTGGTTTTAGACTGTCAGACAACTCATAATCCTTCCTCCCTCTGCCTCCTCCCCATCTCCTCCCCTTTGCCCCCGCCCCCTCCCCTTACGCTCCTCCCTCTTCGCTTTTCGTTGTGTACCTGGGCAGTTCATTTCGGAGTCTGGGCTGCCTTGTTTGCACTCGGTAAGAAAAGCTCCCTCTGTTTTCCCTCCCCTCAAGCTGGCTCACGCCCTGCATTTTTGAGGTTTCACTCTAACTCAGCCCTGCCACTGATGTCAGAGACACGACTTCCTGAATTGGTCTCTCTCTCTCTCTCTCTCTCTCTCTCTCTCTCTCTCTCTCTCTCTCTCTCTCTCTCTCTCTCTCTCTCTCTCTCTCTCTCCTTCCCCCCTTCTCTTTCTGTCTATCTGTCTCTGTCCTCTGTCTCTCTTTTTCTGGTGCTGATCCAGCCTTAACCTTCTCGTGCTGTAGGGAACAAGCAAAGCTAACTGAGCCTTCCCCCCCCCCCCCCACTCAGAGTCATCCCCTCACTCCCTTTCTCGTAGGTACATGGCCTCATGTATAACGTTCTCTCAAGACCCAGCTTCATCTCCAGGAGAGTGCCAACAGTTTCTTTCGCGCGTTTAGTTCCCAGGGACAAAACATTCACTCTGGGGAAACCCAACTTCACTGAAAATAGCCTTGTTCTGCTTAATAGAGCAAACTTCCTGAACTAGAGAGGGGAGGTGGGACTGGGGGAGGGGCGGGGCAGGGCAGGGCGGGGCGCGGGGGTGGGGTCGGGCAAGGGCTTTCAAATGCCTTATCAGGACAAACACAAACCCCAGGCTGATACTGTAAGCCTGACTTGGCGAGCCCTGTCCAATCCTCAATAAATATTTTTGATTAAGATCGTTGAGTATCTAAGCTTAATTAATTATTGACAACTTCATCCAGTGATGAATTTTCAGCAGCAAAGATTGAAGAGAACATCTTAAAACAAAACAAAACAAAACAAAACATCAAAACCAAAGCTGAACAAAACTAGACTCAGTAAAATAGGAGTTATAAATTTTACTGACTTGTCACCCCTCTCTACTGTCTATCTACTTTTCATTATTTCCTCAAGAGTTTCTAAATGTGTAGAATCCCAGAGATAAATCTTGGTCTAAATGACTGGGACTTTGTAGACTAAAGGACCAAATAAAGTATCAGATTTCAGTGTCCTGGAACAGTCACCTCTGAGAAAGCCAAGGAAGCGAGCTGTTCTAAAGGGGGTGTGGCGGGTGAGAGAGTATAACAATTGACCTTTCTATAACTTTTATGGTTACCAAGCACTTTATATACATTATCTCATTTTATCCTCAAAACAACCCTATGAAGTCAGGACTACTATAATAGTTTTTTTTTTCCTTTTGGTCTTTGGTGTATGTAATATTTCTATATTGGGATATTCCCAGTGAGGAAACATCTAACATCAATGCAGAATATCACCTGCTGTTCAATTTAGTTTCATTTGGGCACCATTAACTGCCTTCTACTCTTGGCTGCTTGCTCTTTTCTGGGTTTTTGGGACACAGTTTTTTTTTTTTCTGGTTTTCCTCCTTCCTACAGGACCACTCCTTTTCAGTCACTCTTGCTGAATCTTTATCCAGGTCACAATCACCTAATTGTGGGTGGCCCTCATGGCTCTGACTTTGTCCCTCTTCTCTTTTCTTTCTATTCTCTTTCACTTGCTGATCTCATCAGCTCCCATGGGCTCTATTCCCATCACTATACAGATATCGCCAACTGCCTATTAGATGTTCCAAAGTAGATGTCCCAGAGGCATCTCAAACTCAGCTTGTCCAAGAACCACAACCCACCCACTTTGGAGCTTCTCTATCATATCAAAGACCCCACCATCCTCCCAGTCACAACTACTCACTTTCACCCCACATATCCAAACACAGTGAAATCTGGTCATGCTTATCTCCACAACATCTTCCTCTCCCAATTCTTCTCCACACATCCAGCTACCATCTTTGTTCAGTCATTCATCACCTCTTACCTGGACTTTTGCAAGTTTTCCATTTATCCTCTCTACATTTAGCCTCTCCCTACTCTTATCCAACCTTCACACAGCTGCCAAAGTCATTTGGAGACCATTTTCATACTTGGGGGACTTGGGGACAGCATTATAGGGGAGATATCATATGATTTAAAGGAAGGGAAGGCTTCAACAGATGGTCATGAGGGTGGGCTGGCCATTCAAGGCATGGGAGTTAGTGTGAGCAAAGGCCTATGGATGGGGGAAAAAAAAGGATCAGAAAAGAGAATGGAGAATTATTATCAGATTGAAGCCTAATAGATTTACTGCTTAAAGGATTAAACTCCTATTACATGTAAGACTCAGTGGATGCAAAGATTAAAACAAAAAACACTATTTTTGTCCTAATCTACTAGTGGTGATAAGATGTGAATAGATGAGTATGATACAACATGTAATGTGATTAAAGCAAATCGAGGTATTGGCAAAATCCAATTAGAAATTTGAGCAGAGATGCCCAGATCATTAAGTATATGTGAGCTATTATAGATTATTATTAGAGAAATTAATTGTTTATGAATAAACAAATGACATCTCTTCACCTTCCCCAGAGGAAAACAAAAGACCCAGATTTCAAGAATTCAGAAGATCTAGAGGTTTGGTAGTCAGGAAGACAGTTTGGAAAAGAGAAAAAAAAGATTTTTTTTGCTAGATTAGAAAAAGATAACCAAAATAATAATAGAATTTACATACAATAGAATTTAAGGTTTGCAAATAACTTTATAGGTATAATACTATACATGTGTATGTATGTACACACATGTATACATATGTGTACACACATACATATATGACCTCTATATACACACACGCATATATACATATATATGCAATCTATTACTGCCCCACCTAGTTTCCTTAGAAGAAACGCTGTCTTCAGGGAGCAGGGTGAGGTGGATTATTCAGTAAAAGCTGGAGTCCAGAAGAGGATGACTTGTGGTTGTTGAATTGCGTCTGACTCTTCATGACCCCATTTGGCGTTATCTTGGCTTATCCTGGAGTGGTTTGCCATTTCCTTCTCTGGCTCATTTTACAGATGAGGAAACTGAGGCAAACAGGGTGAAGTGACCTGCCTAAGGTCACACAGCTAGTAAGTGTCTAAGGCTAAATTTGAACTCAGTCCTTCTCAACTCCAGGCCCACTCTTTATCCACTGTGCCACCTAGCTGCCCAAGGAAGATAGCTAAGAGGACAGAAGTCGCTAGGAGAAGGAGAAGCTGAGAATGGAAGAAGAATTTGACCTGGAAGGAGAATACTGACTTTTGGGTAAGCAAACAAAAGAGACTTTGTACCAGGATGTTTGGACTTGGGTGTCTAGAAGTGGGTGTCTAAGATCAAAGGATCTTAGCTCTAGCTCTTGGAATGGCTAAAGCTGAACTCTGTAACAGTGCTCAACAACTGGAATTGCTGCTCTGTACATGGTTTGTTCCCTTTTGCTTATAGTCAAATTTTTTTTTTACTGTAGACAATAATAATAATAGTAGCAAACATTTTTTGTAACACCTACTATGGTGCTGGGCACTGAGCTAAGTGTTTTACAAACATTACCTCATCAACCCTGTGAAGCAGGTGCTATTATTATCCCATTTTTTTTAACAGTTGTGGAAACTAAGGCAAACAGGGAGTTTAAGTGACTTGCCCAGTCACATAGTTAGTAAGTATCTGAGGCTAGATTTGAACTGAAGTCTTCTTACCTCCGGGGCCAGCACTCTATCCACTGTGACACCTAGCTTCTCAAGAACAGTGGCTTTGGGGAGGGTCCCTGCCATAACTATTTATAAATTAAGTAAACCAACATTTAGTAAGTACCTACTACTACCAGGCACTATGCTAAGTGCTGGTCTTTGAATAGTAATCTAAGGAATTACAATCTGATAATAACTGTTCTCATCTACTAAAAGCTGTTGTTTTCGTAGTTTTGTAGTCTAATCAAGAAATAAATAACTGTTCCATGGAAGGAATACCACTTGAGCCATGGCCTAGTTACGGTGGTGGGTTTTTTTGGGGGAGGGGTTTACTTATACTTACTTTGGAGTCTGACGGGCATTTACTGGTAGAATAGAAAATATTTCCCTCAATGTGATTAATAGCATGACGGAGTCTTACATGTCAGGGAGGGTTTAGCTTTGTTTTCGCCCAGCAGCCAGGGCCTGAGCTAGACTATGGGAATTCCAGAAATCTCTGGAGGCAACCTGATTTAGCAGAACTAGTACTGGACTTGATGTCAGAGGGCCTAGATTTGAGTATTGGTGTTTGCCCATTGATAATTGTGTGATCAAGAGCAAGTCATTTAGCCTCTCTGAGATTCAGTTTGCTCATTTGTAAAATACAAATAATAATACACTTCTATCATAGGGATGTTGTGGGAAATAGCTTTTTAAAATAATGATAACTATTATTATGTTACATTGTGAACTTGCATACCTATGTTGGACTGCAATGACGCTATATGAAAAGATGCCAACACCTAGAGACAAGATGTACAGTGCCAAGCTAAGAGATAGTGTCCGGGAGATAGTTTCATTGCTTAACTTTAGAGAGAGAAAAAAATATTTCACAACAACTTTTGTGGTGGAGTCACCAATTACTTCTTTGTACCTAAGATGAAATCTCCATCTCCATAGGATGCTGAAGTCTTGGGAAGGAAAAAAAAGTAAGAGAGAAGATTCCATGCGTGGGTCTTCTGCTGTGAACAGAGGTGAATAAGGATCTAGGGTGGAAGTCTCTGAGAAGTGGGACATGACTCAATGGAAAAAAATCTTGCTAACAGTTGGAATGATCCAAAAATGTAATGGCTTGCCTTGGGAGGTCATGGGCTTCTTCCCACTTGAGGTCTTCAAGCAGAGGCTAGATGACCATTATTGGGGAAATCAGATGAAATGATATTAGTAAAGTGCTCTGTAAACTTGAAAGCACAAGACAAATGTCAGCTATTAATATTGTATGTTATAGAGGAAATTCCTTTTTTTTCTTTTTAAATAGTATTTTATTTTTCCTGATTATGTGTAAGGATGATTTTTTACATTCTTTTTTTTTAATTTTGAGTTCCAAATTTTCCCCCTCCTTCCCTCACCTGCCACTTCCCTAAGATGGTAAACAATTTGACATAGGTTATATATGTTCAATCATGTAAAACATATTTCTATATTAGTCATGTTGTGAAAGAAGAAACAGGCCAAAAAAACCCATGAAAAAAATAAAGTGAAAATAGTGTGCTTCAATCTGCTTTCAGACGCCATCAATTCATTCTCTGAATGTGGATAGCATTTTCCATGATTCTTTTAGGATTGTCTTGGATCATCGTATTGTTGAGAAGAGCTAAATCCTTTATAGTTGATCATAATGCAACGTTGCTGATACTATGTACAATGTTCTCACAGTTCTGCTCACTTCATTTTGCCTCAGTTCATGGAAGTTTTTCCAGGTTTTTCTGAAATCCACCTCTTGTCATTTCATATAGCACAATAGTATTCCACTACATTCATATGCCACAACTTGTTCAGCCATTCCCCAATTTATGGGCATCTCCTCAATTTCCAATTCTTTGTCACCACAAAAAGAGCTGCTGTAAATATTTTTGTACTACATGTAGGCTCTTTCCCTCTTTTGATGATCTCTTTGGGATATAGACCTAGTAGTGGTATTACTGGATTAAAGGCTATGCACAGTTGGACAGTCCTTTGGGCATAGTTCCAAATGGCTCTCCAGAATGGGTGGATCAGTTTACAACTCCACCAACAGTGTATTAGTGTCCTAATTTTTCCACATCTTCTCCAACATTTATTCATTTTCCTTTTTTGTCACATTAGCCAATCTGATAGGTGTGAGATAATACCTCAGAGTTGTAATTTGCATTTCTATAGAGGGAATTTCTAAATGGATGTGATTTTACTAGAAGGCTTCAGGAGGCCTCAGACACTTATTAGCTGCATTGCCCTGGGCAAGTCATTGAACCTCTATCTGCCTTGGTTTCCTCAACTGCAATAATGGAGACAATGGCACTTTTCTTGTAGGGCTGTTGTGAGGATCAAATAAGATAATATTTGCAAAGCACTTAATACAGTGCCTGGCACATTTTACACGCTATATAACGGTTTATTCCCTTCCCTTTCCTCTCTTCCTCTTCCTGTTAAATGACGACAACAACAACAACAAAAATAAATGGCAACAAAAATTCTGCTCTCTTTGCCACATATAATTGGGTACTTTTGAGTAATTGTTGCATTTGAGACATTTGTTATTTGGGTTATTTATTTATTGTAGAGTACTATATCAACAGTGAAGTGGGCTATTTGCCAAAACATGTAGAAAGCTTTCAATAAACTAAACATTTTGGTGTTACGATAATGTTCTGTACAATAGGATTCTATTTGTGGTGGCAATTAAATAAAAAACCCAACTACAAATAAACCAGTTCATATAATTAAGGTGGTTCCATTATTCTCATCAATAAAATTTCAGAAATTGGCACAAATGGCCAGAAATTGGCCAAGATAGAGAAAGTAATCATGGATAGGGATGATGGAGAGAAGCTGAAACCTGGGTTCTAGTCCCAGCTGTGCTGTGTGACTTTAACCCAGTCCCTGCAACTATTTTTGTCCAAGATTTTGCATCTGTAAATTGGGTGGAGAAGGATCATTTCTATGGTTTTCTTCAGCTTGAAATTTTTTGAAGTCTATGAATCTAATATCCCTTCCCACTGTAGAAGTCCATGACATTATTATTCTAGCGATTGTGTCTAATACATTACCAATACCTAGAGCTGTGCTACGTACCAAATGGGTGCATTTGAGGTTTCCTTTTAGCATTGAAAACAAAACAGAGAATATTATTCTACCTGGATGTCGAATCTATACCTGGAGTGCTGTGTCTAGTTTCTGCTGCTTTATCTCAGGAAGGGTAGAATGAATATTTCATTTAGAGAAAATCTGAAAAGGGGAAATTCAAATGATAAGAATTAATAAACTAATAAATAAAAAGTCCCGAAAGGCTAATGGAAAATGGACTTGATAAAAATCTATAAAACTGAGAGGAATATTTTGCATATGCTTATTTATGTATCTATCTCTCCTGATTTATGTATGCTGTCTCTCCTAATGGAATGTAAACTCCTTGAGGGTAAGGATGGTTTCATTTCTGTCATTGTATACCCAGGGTTTAACACAATGTCTTGCACATAGTAGGCTCTTAATACATGCCTGTTGAATGACTTCTCTCTGTTGATTTTTTAAAATTTATTCTGTACATAGCTTGTACGTACATAGTTGTTTACATGATGTCTCCCCTATTAGATTGTGAACTCCTACAGGGAGGGATTGTCTTTTGCTTCTTTTTGTATCCCCAGTGCTTAGCACAGTACGCAGCATATAGTAGGCACTTATTACTACTACTAGCTAACATTTATATAGCATCTACTATGTGCTGTGCACTGTGCTAAGCACTTTACAATTATTATCCCATATGATCCTCACAACAATCCTGGGAGGTAGGTGCTATCATTATCCCCATTTTGCAGATGAGGAACTGGAGACAAACACAAGTTAAATGACTTGCCCAGGGTCACATAACTAGGAAGTATCTGAGGCTGAATTTGAACTCAAGTCTTCCTGACCCTATGCCTGGTGCTATATTCACCATGCCACCTAGCTGCCCTGTATAAATACTTATTAACTGACTGTATTATGACTTATTGACTGTATTATATATAATAACTTATTAACTGTATTTTCACTATATATTATTGACTGACTTACTGACTGATGGAGAGTAATGAGGTGAAGGCATAAATAAAGCATGTGAAGGTGGGAAAAAAAAAGATGAGGTTAGGCTGAAGATGTGGCTGAGGAGAAGTCATGTACATGCTCTACTGAAGGCTGGGTAGGATGGAGTCCTGGAGAGCACAAAGGTGGGTAAGATGAAGATGAGGGTAAGATAAAGGCAGTGACAAGGTGTGTGTATGGTTCAAGTGACTAGATTAAGTGAATATGTGGATAAGATCAATATGGTTCTGTTCACCAAATACTAAAATAGGAGCGAAGGGGTGGCTTTTGAAATTCAAGTAAATAAGTTTAGGGGAAGTAGGAAACAAATGCTGCTTTGCCTAATGGGTGATAAACTTAAAGGGGCTGATTCCCTCAAGTGGTGGAATTGGTAGGAAATAGAAATAGATTTAACATGTGTTTGGACAGTTTTATAAATGGCACACCTGTAAATGATCGTGAAGAGAAGTCGGATGCTACTTAATCTTTAAGGCTGACGCTAGGGAA